CACACACACCGGGGTCGTCGCAATATGCATTTTCGCATTTGCATATTATGCAAAAACGCATAAAAATGGGAAAATTTGTAGTTTTTGCGGCTTCCTTCCAAGCATATCTAGTGTAAGTGGGTCTCAGCTGATGTTCATGCTCTCACAATTATGAATAATTACAAAAGTTTTAGCAAGATCCAAAATGCGCCGAAAAATTGTTGGAAGAACTGCCAACAGTGCCAGCTGCTGCAAGGTTTGTAACTGTACCTTAAGTTTTGTTGAGGTACTTTTGTTTGTTGGGTTTGTTGAGGTTTGTTGTTGAGTTACCTTGTTGTTCGTTGTTGGTTTGTTGGTACCTTGTTTGTTGTTGTTAAGGTACCTTGTAAAATTCAATTACGACACATGTTTTCTATAGGCTTTCACTAGAATCGATTCGAAGCGATGTGCGAAGTCTGAGTGAGAAATTGAAGGCTGTCGGTGAAAAAATCACTGGAAAAACCGACAGATTTTTTGACGAAATCAGTTGTCATTTCGCGGTAATTTATGCAATTTGTTTAGCTTCAGACAGGAAAATTATGCTTTTCAGTGTTTTTCGCCTCGTCACTTTTCAGTTTCAAGTTCATACGAGTGCAAATGCAAGTAAATAATGGTGATTATAAAAGTGGCGATTGCAGAATTCTGAAGAACATGTAGAAAATATGGAAGAGCGGCTGGAGCAGATGGACAGCCTCATATCGTTCTTGGCAGCCTACTTTTGCGAGGAGAAAAATCAGTTCAAAATCGAAGAGTGCTTCAAAATACTATTCACGTTCACGTGCAGGCTTCGTTCCGCCTTGAATGTATTTATCCCCTTGTAATACTAATTTAATTTTGTGGGACAGGATGGGCGATATACTGTTGTAGTGGTCAGTTACCTCAACACTATCTATGAAGTTGAAAAATAATGAATGCTGTAAAAAATAGTGGTTGCTCCACTGTCGAAAGTGGCTCGTTCACTGGGGTAACTGATGCGATCGTGCGTTTCATATAGTCTGTCAGGCGGACGTTTGCTTTACTTCTTGAAAGATGAAGAAACTTCCGTGATATTCTGATCGGCCAGTTCGTACGTGAGGTCTAGACGTACGTAGAAACTAAATCTAAAATTTCTGGAGTCGCACATGGAAAGAAAACATCCTTCTAAAATTTCAGTTTCATTTTTCTGATTTTTGAGTTAAGGACCCGAAACAAAACGTACTCGGACACGGATACGGACACACACACACACACACACACACAAATAAATATGCACACACATAAATACAAGGACATACATACATACACAAGCACAAAAACAGACACATAAACAAGGTCATGACAGTTTGTTTTTTGTACAACTGTTCAGCACGAAACGCATAAGACCCATTTACTCTCAGTCCGCTTATCAGCAGAGTGATAAGACTGAATTAATTGAAAGGGTTTTCGTGGCGAAATGCCTTGTCTTTGTTAAGAAAAGGCCATAAAAGGAGCATGGAAATTTGCATTTGAATGTTTTAGTTGGATTTCTTCCTGAAATGTGAGTTGTGCTGAAAGGCAGTACATATTTGAGTAACTGAACAGTAGACGAGGGGGAGGGGCAAATTATTTCGTTCAACCAAAAGAAGTGGTGCCAGCAAAACCTAGCTGGCCTTATTTATCAGTTCGCCAAAAAAGCAACATTGAATATTTTTGGTCAGCTTACTGCCGGAGGCAACTGTAGCTTGTACCAAAACAGAAAAAAAGCAGGTCTTCCGACATAATCTTTCAGGGCACTACTAGGAACCATTGTTACTAAATTAAAAATTTTTTTTAATATTCAGATTTCGAAATTTGTGTTGCAGGATAACGAGGCTCGTCTGAGACGGCAACAGCGCCGCGAAGAGTGTCTCAACGCAAAAAGTGCCCTGGCACACAGTTCATCTGAGCTGGACCTGACTAAAAGGAGTGGTGCCAACAATACAAAAACACTCTTTGAATTACTAGAGAAGAGCGAGTAAGCTGTTCCAAAAATTTTTCAGACTGCAAACGTCAGTAACTGAGTCGAGGAAGCTGCATACGGCTAACACGTAATCGGCTAAGAGCAATGAATTGAGAGATAAGTGCAAGTGTGTGTGCTTCTGAATAAATCATTTTACGATCTGCGAAAGCTAAAGAAACTTCTAAAATTTTAGATCCTATCTTTTATTCTTTATAGGATTACAAGTTTTTACATCACTGTTCGAGTTTTTTTATTCATTCCTGATCGGTCGAAAGACTTGTCGAAGTATACTGCAAAGTTAAGGGCCAAAAATGTCACACACGCACTTTTCGGCTGTACTAAGGCGGCGTTTTTATTCAGCGTTTGCCCAAAACAACTTATGGCACCTATAACTGCACTGGACTTCTGATGCGTAGCGCTTTT